GACTGTCACTGACTGTCACAGACTGTCACAGACTGTCACAGACTGTCACAGACTGTCACAGACTGTCACAGACTGTCACTGACTGTCACTGACTGTCACAGACCGTCTCAAACTGTCACAAATTGTCGACATGAGCGTCGTGGGGCTCCAACTTTTTACTGTCACATGAACACAAGAACCAACATTACACTGACATACTGTAACAAGTTTATTAAGTCGCAATGTGACTTTCTGAACGTGTATTAAAAATATTTAATTGCAGTTATGAATTTCTTGTAATATAGCCCATCACAACTCATTTGTCAGCTGAACACAATGTTTTTCTTTTTTCCATTAAAATTAAATGAAAGTCAATGTTTAAACAGATCTTTTCAGCTGATGGAAGCTAAAGCTGGTGATTAATGCAATGTGCGTGTCAGATGAACTTATATTAACTTTACATGGTAACTTGTATGGAGCTGACGTGCAGTGGGTGGATGGATGGGAGGATGGATGGGTGGGTGGGTGGATGGATGGATGGGTGGGTGGGTGGATGGATGGATGGATGGGTGGATGGGTGGATGGATGGATGGATGGATGGGTGGGTGGGTGGATGGATGGATGGATGGGTGGGTGGGTGGATGGATGGATGGATGGATGGGTGGATGGATGGATGGGTGGGTGGGTGGGTGGATGGATGGGCGGATGGACGGACCGTCCGTCCATCCGTCCTTGAGGGGAAATTTGTATTGGACATCGTGCGCTAACAAAGCTTCTTCCACAATTAAATACACTACAACCAATAAAATCATGTGAACCCCATAATAAAATATAAAACACCAATTAATAAAATCACACAATTCAATAAAAACGCACAATTCAATAAAAACGCACAATTCAATTAAAAGCACACAATTCAATTAAAAACGCACAATTCAATAAAAACACACAATGCAATAAAAGCACACAATTCAATAAAAGCACACAATTCAATAAAAACACACAATTCAATAAAAGCACACAATTCAATAAAAAGCACACAATTCAATAAAAACACACAATTCAATAAAAACACACAATTCAATAAAAGCGCACAATTCAATAAAAAGCACACAATTCAATAAAAACACACAATTCAATAAAAAGCACGCAATTCAATAAAAACACACAATTCAATAAAAAGCACACAATTCAATAAAAAGCACACAATTCAATTAAAAACACACAATTCAATAAAAACACACAATTC